CTGGGAACTGAACCAGTGACCTTCTGGCTCACAGGCCCATGCTCAATCCACTGAGCTACATCAGCCAGGGTAGGAAAGGAATCTTGCTGAAAGGCTCTTATGTGCTTCACTATTTAATGTAGCCACATTAAGTGGAAAACTTTTAAATATAATTTTCTCTGTGGTGTTAATTTTTCTTAAAAAAAAAAGTGTGCTGGCAGGTTACATATTGCCTAAAAGAACTGAAATACAAAACTGCATATGAAATAGCATTCTGAAATATTAAAAAAAGTATTTAAGTAGAATTTAACACAGTGTTTGGGTAACAGGTTAAAGTGAAATTCCTAGCTGCTTGTATAGTATCTAATATATACAACTGATTAAAATAATCCACTAACAATCTGCAAAAAAAAAACTTATTTAGCTATGGTGTGAAATATAGCTTTTGATGATAGCAATATTTTCTAAAAGAGAATGACAGATTTTTGAGCATTCAAGATGAAATCTAGTATTATTTTGAGCCATGTTAAAACTATAAAGACTTTTCAAAACACAGTGAAATTAAAGTCTTCTCAGATAGCAGAAGGCCAGACCACATCAATAATGTGAAGAAAAAAAAAAAACCATACCAGGGCAATGTAGCTACCCGAAAGTAATGAGTGAATTTAGTTTCTGGATGTGGTTATTTCTTCTAATCTTCACATTGGTAACTCATGAATATAAACACTTAATTTAATGGGTTTGATCAACTCTGATAACATAATTCCGAACAATGAAAAGGATCCAACTTGTCTATCAAATAAAGGTAATTTGTAAAAAATAAAAATTTAAAAAAGGTAATTTAAGAAATTGAGAACAGATGTGACCAAATATAAATAAACATGCAAGAAGTCAAAGAACCATGGGTGTGACTTTAATTTTGGAAACACAAATACAAACCCTTTAAGTTAGTCACTTAAATAAAAGGCTACCTAGTATTTTCTGTCCACTATGTTCAATGTTAACATTCTGGGCAAAATGCTGCCCACTCTCTCACATGTGGAAGAGGAGATTAAGTATTTCCCAGAAGCCCCTGGTAGTATATGCAACTTGTTATTTCCCACATCCTGATGGTGTCTGTCCTCTTTGCTCGTTTCTGACTTTCTCGTGGACACTGAAGCTTAACGATAAATTATGGAAGTTGTTTCCTCCTTTATGAAGTATATTAAAAACAAAAGGTGTTACGGTCATTTCACATTAACTTAGCAAAGCGATTCTGTGCCGACATTATCACAACATACATTTTGGTGCACCATCAACAGTTACATGATCGTTTCACAGCTACATTACTTACGCCAATTAACCAACTATTTACGAAAAGTCTGCTCAAAAGATTACATTCACTTCTTCACTTAATATCTGAAGGTCATAGTAGATTCAAAGACAGAAAGTCACTCACGTTAAACATCTGTATTCTCCAAAAGCGTATACTCCAGAATACACCAGAAATAGCCAAAATCCCTGCAGTTTTAGGATTCTGCTAATCAAAGGGCTCTTAACAAGGTAAAAAAAAATGCCACAGGTATTATTATTGAGCAAAGACCTTAAGGGGCAAGTAAATTAAGATGCAACTGCTCAATTCTCATTCAAGGAACTTAGGTTACAAGTAGGTCATCCTCTCTAGCTCTCAAGAGAATTACCTGAACACCACGGCTCCAGGATTTCTGAGTGGGCACAATGTTTCACGGTCTGGCTACTAGATTTGCAGAGGGGACTGCAGCATAGGGTAGATTTCTCCTCTTTGACAAAAAAAAAAAAAAAGCAAAAGGAAAAGAAGCAGGTGCAGTTGTTACTAAGGCCTCAAGAGAGAGACAATATATATGTCACCCACCCTAATTACCAGACCTTTGGAGTGTATGAGCTACAACAAAGTACTGGTAGAATCAGTTTGAGTCTGGTCCCTAGTTGCGAACTAATTCAGCTGTGAGACTTCGACAAGGCAGTATCTGTGGCCTTCTCTTCTCACCTATGGGTTCATCTAAGATTTTAAACCATAACTAGATAGACCAGGTATGTTTTTCATTAATAATTTATTCCAGTACAGATTTAAAACTGTCAATGCTCAGGCCCCACTGAGATTTAAATTTAACTGGTTTGACTGTGAGGTCTAGGTACTAAGCAGACTTAACTCCTCAGGTAGTAGTTAACAGGCACCCAGAGTTTAGAACCACCAACAAAAAGTTAGTGTTGGATAGGGTTGAATACCTGGGCCTCTTCAATATATAAGACCAGGGTGGGGAGTCCAAATCTCCTGTCATTAAATGAGACATTCAGGAATGAAAGAGCCAAAGCCCTCCAGTAAAATACCCGGCCTCCCCGTATCACCTGTGTGGCTAAGCCACCACAGTAGGGGCAAAAGGATGCTTTCCAAGGGTGGAGACATGCAACTTGAACTCAGTTGTTACTTTTTTTAAAGAAAGATTTTATTTATCTATCTTTGGAGGGGAAGGGAAGGAGAGAGGGAGAGAAATATCAGTGTATGGTTGCCTCTTGTGCATCCACTGCTGGGAACTGGCCTGCAACCCAGGCATGTGCCCTGACTGGGAATCAAACCTTGATCCTTTTGTTTGCAGGCCCGCGCTCAATCCACTGAGCTACACCAGCCAGGGATGTTACTTTCTTAATTTGGGTGAATAAAAGGCGCATCCACTGAGGTGTCCCCAGCATAATCCAGTGAGAATTCAGGAGAGGAGCAGGGAGGAGCAGGGTGTGGAGAACAGTGAAGGGGACTAGTGTGGAAAGGTGGAAAGAGACAGGCATATTACCCTGGGCATGAGTGTCAGAGGAATTTCTGAAAGGTAGTACTACCCCTAGAAATGAATCACTGATTTTCAACAAGGAGGTGATTAACACTTTGCAAGAACATTCATCCCTGATGGTCAACTAGACACTGATAACTTCCTGGTCAGCCTTACCGTGAAGGGCCTTACAGCATTACCTTCAAGGTAGACACCTGAAAGCCTGGATTCCAAGTCCAGCTGTGCCAACGATTAGCAGAGCTGTCTATAACTGATTGTGGGAGACTTCAGCAGTCTCAAAGCAGAAGCATGTTCCATCAACCTTCCCAAAACACACAATGAAGGGACTGCCCCTGGGTATGCGTGGATGGGTATTTTCCGAGTGTCATAATCACCGCAGATTTCTCAAGTGCTCAGACCTTGCTTATGTATATCATAGCTTTGAAGAAAGGGGAAGGGAAATTAATATTTTATTTTACAATGTATTTTTTGAGGTTTACCTTTGATATTTAAAAAAATTATTCCTTTTCTCCATCCTTTCTCCTGCGATGATTTTTCTTGTTATTTATAAAATAAGAATTTAGGGTTGGATTTGATCTTGTCAATTTATCCAACTGCCTCATCTTACGGATACAGAAATGACTTGAGCAAGTTCTCACAGCTTTCTAATGACAAGACCACACACTGAAGATGGATACTCCCACCCCCACCTACCTAATCTGAGTGCCTTCATTCTCTAGAAGTTTGATTCAAGGTATTTCGGTAAAACAGGATTATCAGGAGATAAGCCGAAACACAGCAAGGAAACAAACTCTTACAATTCTTGTTTGGCTGTATGCATGCAGCTGTTTCAGGATGAAGGCAGCCAAATACGGAGAAACAGTGAACACCTACCTCCCAGATACACCTAAAGACTTCCTCTCAGACTCTATGCCAGGCTACCCATGTTATTTCTAACACAGCTGACAACTGTAGGTGGGACATGAAGGTGGGGCTGGGTGTTTGGTCTTAAAAATTCCTAGAAGTAAACGATGCTTCCACTGCTCTGCCATTCTCCTCCTAATAGGTATCAAGAAATAAAATATACTTAATTAGATAGAGGTGTCCCAGGTAGGTGGCAAATGATGGGATCGCAGTAGTGATCCACCACGGATCATGTTTAAGTCTGACACTCATCAGGTAACGCTACTAAGCTGAGCTTGTTTCCTTAAGTGTAAAACAGGACTGTGGTCTTACCGTTTCTCAGGCGCATGAGTGAAATACCGCGAGGGGACGGAGTAATACTGTGTGGCACAAGACAAACCGTGCTTCGCAAAAGAAGAGTACGTACTTCCTATTAGGGAATTCTGAATTTCAGAAATTTTAACTTTTTTCTGTATCATGTCAAGGTCTGTTTTGGAGAAACCATTTTTCCAGTATTAAATAGGAGTATATAAGAAGGGGTTTAGTGGACAAATAGCAGGAACACATTAGGTTTTAAAAAATTAACTGTCTTTAACTTCACAATTCCTCAGAGCCTTGAATATAACACAGGCTATGACTCCAAGATCTCCACGCTGGAAGGACAAGTGAGCGGCACCTTCCAAGCTTCTACGACCTGACCCTTCCACACAGACCATCACAGAGGAGCCACGTTCCCTAGAACACACCTTGGGGGAAAAACAACAACAGCAGCACTATTACTATCACTATATATTTTTCCTAGTATTTGCTTGAAAACAAAATCATAAGACACTTTAGTTAAGAGAAAACTTTTCACATAAACATAAGTGTTTGTAAACCTTTTATAGGCTGCCTATTCCAGCTCTAGAACATGATTCCAAATCTGTTAAGGCCAAATCACTAACATAACCCTCTTTTCAAAAGGCCTTCAAGAATAACCCACCATCAGGACAGAGAACGAGCCTTTCAAGTTTTGTGGAAGGCATCTGACTCCCAGGTCCCAGGTAAGGATGTCTGTTCCCTTGTCAGTCCAGCAACAGCTTTCCTGTCCTCTGGACCAGCCAGAATGAAGGCATCTGCCACACATAATTGTACTGCTTATCTAATACTGAACCCCATACAAAAATTTTTTTCTAAGACAGAATTTTGAAAACAAAGAGGCAGCAACCTGAGATGGAAATAGTATGAGAAAAACATGGACACCTAAAACTAACACAATGTCAATTATACCTCAATTAAAAAATAAACAAAAGCATGGTAACACTCTTATATAGTAACATCAGCTAAAATACTGACAGATGGTTATAGAATCTATGTCTAATACTGTCTATATTTAGAGTGCTTATATAAATATTATGAAGGATCTAGTACAAACTGGTGGCAATGGCAACAAGTTCTACACCAGTTCTCCAATCTTCTCTTACAGCTGGTAGAAGGATTACAAAGTTTGGCAATAGCTTGCATAGAAGACTAGTCAGAGTCTTCTGGGCAGTGGGTAATAAATCTGTCTACAGATTACATCTAAGTTGATTGCACAACTCTTCACTGGATGATATAAGCTGTGGGCATGCATTTGTAAACTGCAGGCATGCGTGATGGTTTTTGCGGTCTCAAAGCTTCCCCTCTGACCAACGAGATTAAAGCGCTTTAACTTTATGCTATGCCAGAGACGGTCTCCTCAAGGGAGAGAACAAAACTACCTATGCAAGGCTGCTGGAGCAGGCAATACGAGGCAAGGAGGACAAAGCTCCTCCCTGGTGAAAAGGCTGACTGTGAGCAACATGGCATCTAGTGGAAACATGATTTGAAAACATTTAAAACTGACTCCACTCCTAGTTCCTTTCTCCTATGGCTGTGACAGCACACAATTCTAAAGTACCTCGATGTATTCCTGGTGCTGTCCGTATTAAGGTAGCTTATATTTTATAATGCCGGTGTACTGCAAAAGTGGCGGGATCAGCCCACCTATATCTTTATCTGATATGCTCACCACTTCCCCCCAACGCTTGGAGAAATAGGGTTACTTACAGGGAAACTCAGAGTCTAAAACAGGTATACACACTAAGTCACACTGGTAAATAGTGGGTTTTTTCTAACAGCTCTTAGAAACTGGTGAGGGAACAGAATCCCATTACTACCCCCCAACTCACCCACCTTCATACATCTTCACTGACAGAGACATCAATAGCAACAGTGAGTTTATACATAAAAAACAAGTGAGGCAAAGGCAAATGCAGTGTCAATCTGTCTCAGTGTAGGCAATGATGCTTTGATTATACCCGTACAAACTCTTTAGTCCCTTTTAGATATCCCCAACGCAGCCCTTAGGCCATAGATTTCTGCTGTGGAGAATTCAGATGTGATGTAGCCGCTCCAGTACTCTTCACAGTACTGCATATGTCAATACTGGGAATGTTTTCTAATCAAGTTAAACTGCACACAGCACTTTAGAACAAGAAGTTTATTACTCCCACTCAGTAGTTCCTGGGGGCTTTGATGTTAAGTCATACATAATTCGAGAAATACCAGGAATCTTCTTAATCTCAGTGACCATCTTTAACACCACCTGTAATGAAACAAAGATTATAAATTGAAGAGCCAGAATCCATGGCATGTCCAAAGGACCTAAAGGGCTTGCATTTACAATTTGAAATTGTAATCTATTTTTACTGTTGTCCTCTATGTATATGGGATGGTCCCGATTAACTTTATGCAGTGAACCTATTTCCCTCTACAGACTTAAGTGACTTAATTCTGTACCAAAGTACAGTTCACAAACAGGTGCCAGCCTACAAGTTGAGTGTTACAGGTCAACAGGTGCTTAGAAATTCTGACAGCAGTTTGGCATTGCTACGGCATCTAAATGAGAGATTGTATGTGTTGAAGCCAATTCTTCATAAGCTACCTGTGGCTGAAACACACAACTCCGAGGCTACCATGGCAGTGCACAACACACCAGCATCATAACCACTATGAGTGTACAGGACAGGGAGGCCTGGTCACTGACTCAACGAAAATTTGGCAAATCTGAGCCTAAAGAAAAATAAGACCATAGGTGACACCTCACAACCCAGCTCTGCAGCTGTAACCAGAGCCCTGCACTGGAGCATTGGGGCAGTGGTCCAGCTAACAAAGGCTCACTGTGACTTTCACCGGCTGGTGAGCGAACAGCCCCTTCGGAACACTACGGCGAGGAACCAACAGGGGGGAGACGGCCAGAAACGGAATTGCGCGTAGGCGGGACAGTAAGCAATTCAGGGGTTTCTGGTCATAATGCCATCATTTCTCATCCTTGTTTCTAATAAACTCTTCTTCACTCCTGAGGCTCTTTACTTGGAGAATAAATACTATTTTAAAAGTAGAGGTTGGCTGGCAAAATTAAATAAAATTATAGGTTAGAGTTAGTAATCAGACATCTACAGGGATATAAATTTAAGGTCTTTTTCTACTACAGTGTACTAAACAATCAATGGTGGATATAAAAAGCCTATCTTATGAACAGAAAACCAACCCCAGAAATACCAACACTGTCACAGTCTATTCCATTCACATTATAAAATGTACGAGGTACTGAAAATATACGTTAGAAGAAAATATATAAAATTACCTCTACAGGGATCTCATTGCCAGGTGTTGCAGGTATACCAGTCATGAAATCACTAGTAATAAAGGTTCGAATAACCACAGATCTCTGGCAAGAAGGCTGCTTCTGAAGTGGGTCCCGATCAAAATGTAATGGTGTCAGAATCACTGGCATCTGGCTGATTTTTCCAGCGTACCCTACAGAAAGGAGGTTGCCATGTAGAGCCCACCACCACCCACGGAAAGCTCTCTGACCGAGTTCAGTAAAATCCTCCCAGACGACACCTAAAATCTCTTTCTCTCTCACACTCATACACACACACACATGCACACACGCACACACACACACAGCCGTCATTCTGCATTGCTTCCAGCTGCTCTCATAGCATCTTAAGTAAACTCAACCACAGATACAAGTAATAGAATTGGATGACTACAGTGATATATGTTATATAGATTTATGTGTGTGTGTGTGTGTACATATAAATATAAAAAACATGAAGTCTATTCATGTAATTCATGGTTGTTAAGGTCTAAACTGCCAACACTGAATTAGCAAACACTAAACTACTGCCTCTAGAGGAACTACAGAATTAGGTTCTCGCAAACCTTGGGTTCCATTTTCATTAACCAATTGGTACATAACCTTGTTTTATGTGTGCTTCTGTTTAAAGACACCGTTTTAACATTTACTGCAGACTCATTAAAGCTGAGCTCACGGCCAACAGCACTGTAATCCATACATGAACAAGTCTCATCTAACCTATGTATTTTCTCTGTAAAGTGCATCGCAGCCTTCCTGTGCTTAGAAACTTAAGACAGCAACTCAGTGCCATGTGTGGGGGAACATTTTAAGCAGTGAGATCATCAACAAAAAGCACAAAAATGCAAAAAATATGGCATTAAATAGACTACAGAAAGGACACTTGTTTACAGTAAGAGAACTGAAACAAGAGGGATGAATACTGCCTTGTTCAACCTCAGCTGAGAGCATGCAAGTCGGGCAACTCAAATTTTCTGCCACTGTGCACATGTCTGCAAATGGCCAAAGGGCAAATAAATTTTATATGAAGGCAATACCATAGAATTATCCATAGAAATGAATAATAAAAATGAAAGCATCTGAAAATTGAAGTTACATTCTCTTACTAGAAATCACAATGCCAGCTCCCAGATCCCAGGTAAAGTGTGCAGTGATGAACAAGACGAGCAACTCACCGGACTCCCTGAGAATGTTCTGAGCCTCAAAATCAGCTTGGCGTAACGTACTGAGCACCCCTGTTGTCAAGAAAGTGGGAGTAACATCTGTCGGAGGCTCTTTAACTGGTGGGCCAAATATATAGACAACTCTAGAAGAGAGGAGGAGAACATTATAGAGAATTACAATTTAGTATGAGAAGCAAGGCACATAGAATAACATTCTTTCCATTTACTCTTGGCACCTCTCCTACTCACTTGAAATTCCCAATGGGTGAGTTAGGATATAAAATTATAGATGGGTCTATGTTCTGTGTACCTCCCTCAAAGTATATTCTATAGAATACTGATATCTCGGAATGTAGAAAGATAGTATGTGATTACTGCAATCCTCTTTTTATGTAACATCTTGGATTAAAGAATGTTCCCAAAACTTGTATCTGTCTGGAATCTGTGGTGAAAATGGGGTCTTTGCAGATGTCACCAAGTTAAAATAAGGTTATATAATGCATGAGGGTGGCCGTTAACCCAATGACTGGGTGTCCTTCTAAAAAGAGAAATTTGGGAACACAAACATACACACACAGAAGAGGGCCGTGTGAGGGTAGAGACAGAGACTGGAGTTACACTGAAACGAGCCGAGGACTGCCAACAAATGCCAGCAACTAGGAAAAGCCAAGAAAGGGCCCTCCCCAGAGCCGGCGGAGAGAGCATGGGCCCTGCTGACACTTGGATTTCAGATCCCTTGCCTCCCACACTGCGAGAGAACGATTTCTCTTGTGGTAAACCTCTCAGTTTGTGGTCATTTGTTAGGGTAGGTCCAAAAAATTAATACTCATAAGCCTGGGGAAATAGTGAGTTGAACAAATAAACAAGTTGTTTTACAGCAGAACTTCAGAAATTGTAACAGGCTAATAATACCCACTGGAAACCTCCAAGATGAAGCTACAGTGGATATCCCAAACTTATCTGACCACTCAATCTTTTTACTTTGGGAAACACGGATTCCAAGGAAAGATTCTCCTTTTCACCTTATTAAAAATGTCACCAAATGGACCCCAAAACTTGGTAGGTATGCTACTGTTTCCTTCTAAAAGGAGTAACTCAGCACTGCTTTCAGTAAATATCTGTTTGTAGGAAGATGCTACTGCAGGTGTTAATAAAAGCTGGGTTTGGAACACGGCTTGAAGGAGGTAGGATCCAACAACTCAGGGAATCAGCTGTTGATATATCCAACATAAAAAATGATGTGCAAATCAAAGGAAAAATAAATCTGACAAACTAAATTGAAAATAAATTATACAGGTAGTTATTTTAACAATATTTGGCACATGCCTATTTCTTTTGTTTTCCCCTGAGATATTATTAAATTAACTATACAACCTTTAGAAAGTTTTTCAATCCTTTTAAAATGTTACCATAAAACCAATAGCCAGTGTAAGCTGCTAATTTGGAAGACATGTTTTATTTTATTTATTTTTTTTTTTAAGATTTTATTTATTTATCTTTAGAGGAGAAGGGAAGGAGAGAGGGAGAGAAACATCAATGTATGGTTGCCTTTCGTGCATCCCCTGCTGGGAACTGGCCTGCAGGGAAACGGCCTGCAACCCAGGCATGTGCCCTGACTGGGAATTGAACCGCGATCGTGTGGTTCGCAGGCCCGCACTCAATCCACTGATCTACACCAGCCAGGGCCCTGGAAGACATGTTTTAAAACTGCCTTTAATATTTTATACTAAAATAAAAATCCTTTCTATTTTTTCTTTAAACAAAAAAGTACATTGTGTTGAAGGAACAAAACACAAGATCTTAGTAAAAACCTGTTTGATTGTGACCTAAGTGTGTACCTGAATCTGTGCTTGAGCCTTTTGGTCCTTTGATAGTGGGAAAACCTTAAAAGCGCATCCTCCCACTACACCTCACCCCGTTCCCACTGCAGAACACACCTGTTAATGTTGTGACACATGCGAGGTATGAGCCTAGCCAGGAAGATGAGAGACTCCCAGTCAGGTTCGTCTTTGCTGGAGATTCCACACACGTAACTGTAGGAGCGACAATCACCCTGAAAGCACAAACAACAATGAACTTTAATGGTCTCACAGAAGTCAAAAGATGGACTGGAAAACATTTCACGCATGGTGACACCATTAGTAACAATTACTTTTTGAGAAAAAGAAAAACTTGTTTTATAAAAGTATATATATGGATATTTCTCTAGTAATATAAATAAATCCTAAATTAAAATCTCCTATTAAGGTCCACCTAAATCAGTTCAGACATAAAGTGTCACGGTAATTTTAAGGATTTACTGAACATGTGCCAGAAGCACACTGGGATCTCACTCCAAGCGCCAGCCCAGCTGTGGACAGCACGCACCTTGATGGGGCAGACAGGATCTGCCCGAGATGATCAGGGGAATAAAGGATTCTTCGGGCAGTGGTAAAAAATAATTCACAAACTTTCACTTATCAATTTCTTTTAAACTCAGCTTGAATAGTTCATTTTTTAAAAGTGAATAAAACTGTACTAATATCAATTCCCTTTCTCTTTGTCCTGTTTAATCCAAGTAATTTTGTTTTAAAAAACTGAACCGAAAAGCAATTTTAATAATCATTAGAGAACCACCTAGTATCCAGTATATTGAGATACACTGAGAAAACGAGAATTCAGACTGTGTGAATGCTAATTTGATATCTATCAAAGTTTAAAATGTACATGGTTCTAATTCAGGAAATGATCTTACAGAAGTACATGAGTAACTGCTTAAATAAAACACTACTTGCTAAAATGCCTATAAAAATGAAATGTGCATAAGTAGGGGAATGATTAAAAGTATGGTGCAACCATATACGGGATATAAGGCAGCAGTTAAGAATAATCTACGTGTAGTGGCATGAAAAGGTAAGTTCACAATGTTCAGTGAAGAAAAATAAAGTGACCGTGTGTCTGTGTAATTCTTTTTTAAAAAAATAAATAAGAACACATACAACAGTTGGAGAGCAAGAACAGAGAAAATTCCTTTCAAATGTACTGCATCTTGATTATTTTTACAATTATGGTTTACTTTAGTATTTAGAAAATAAACTTCACTGCTATCCTAACCAGGATCACAATTTTTACTGGGCTTCCAGAGCTCTCCAAAGACCTAAGAGACTAGAATGAAGTTAAATGTCTAACAAAAAAAAGCCTTTCATTTTAATGGGAAGAGTAGTGGAAACTGAATAAGCTCCATTTTTTAAAAAGTCACTCATCCAACAAATTCAGCAAAAAGAGTATGCTTACTAAGCTGTAGATGAATAATCTCTCCAACGGTTCATTTCTTTCCACACATTAATTCTACTCTACAAGGTCATTATAAACTCATTAACCTAGTAACTGACACTCATACCATTTTAAGTTAAATTACTGACACCTTTTATAGTTTTCATTTTACTACAAATGCTAAACAGGAAAGAAACCTTCCTCTTCTCTACCCTCTGACGGTTTTCCCCTTGGAAACTCACTTGCGAATCCCATAAATGAAGAATATAATCTAATTACGAATAGCACTCTAATAGTTGAAACTACATTATCCTCACATGCTTTTACAACTGGAAAGAGAACAATACAAAAATGTTCCTATGCATTACCACGGCTAAGAGAGGAAAGACATGAGACAAACAAAGAGCACCAGTTTAAAAAGTACACAGACTGAGAACAAGACCGAAAGTGGTGAAACCTGATGGCCTAATGTGTTCATCTAGCGCCTTCTTGCAGCTGGATACTTCTAAAGCCACAGTGTATTTCACACCAAGAAGGATAAATGAAAACATGACCTCCTGGTGACCACCCTTCAAGGAAGAAACAAACAAGCTGACCCTACAGCAAATCACTCTTTGAATTTTTACTTTTGTTAAAGATGACAGATGTTCCAAAACTACAAAGTCTCAGCCTGAATATTGAGTTCTTACAACCTTATTCACTCCATAAGCATTATATAAAGCATTGCCTTTTTACATTTCTATACTTGGTATACATATTTTCATGTTCTTTACTCATTCCTATTTCCATGTTAGTGGAGAGAACATCTGCAGAAAATGTTGTCACAGGTCAGTCAATTAGTTCTCACAACTCACCTGCACACCGACAGTTTTAATTGGCAGAAGGAAGGCGTTCAGTGAGTGCAGACTCGTAATCTGCATCAGCTTCTCCTGGTCCTCTTCTGTGGTGCACGCTTTCACTCTTTGTAACAGCGTATGCGGCTAAGAAAACCAGACACATTTCTTAAGATTTCAAGAAATAAGGTACTCGCTCTTTTGGTATTCCTATTACTTTCTGACATATTTACACTTACTAGTTTACAGCAATAGATCCTGTTGGGCACTTCCCTCTGACTTGTGTGTGCTATGCAGTAAATCAGAACTTCATTCCTGAGGACTAGGGCTATCAGAAGTTAAGTATCAGGATAAGAAATACGGATCAGATTTACATCCAGGCTTTAATCCTCTGTCACTAGCAAGGAACCTATTTCACAAGTCAAACCTCCTCCTTCTCTCTAGTAAAATTTTTGCCATAAAGTCAATTTTGTCTGAAATTAATCTTCCTACTTCTTTTTGAGGGACTTATTCACCTGGTTTATTTTTTTCCATTCTTTTACTTTCACCCCTTCAATTCATAAGTAAAAAGACTATAGGTAGATTTTACTTTTCAATCTAGTTTGACAATCTATGTCTTAATTAGAGATGCTAGTCATTTTAATTAACTGTGGCTTAATGATATGGCTGATTTCATTCTAGCACTTTATTCGGTAATTTCTATTTTTCCCACTTTTTATGCTTCTTTCTCCTTTCTTACATTGTGAACTGATGACTTCTCCCAGCTCCTTTATTTCCCTTTGGTTTTAAAGTTAAAACCTCCATTTTCAGTCTTTTTGTAGTTCCCCTTAAATGTTAGCATGCATACTTAACAAAAGAGAATTAATCTCTCTAACCTCCTGGCAAACAATATAATCATTTTTAAAGGCTTTAACTCCCATAAGTCCCCTGTGGTTTACCTGCTATTAGTCATATATTATTACAGTGTTTTTTAAAATAAACACCAAAAATTACAGATTGTTCTAATTAGATACTCCATGTTTGTTTAAATTTTAGCCATTTACCATTGTCTTTGTTTACCACTTTTTCTTATATCTGAGACCCTTCTCCTAGAAACCTTTTGCTCCTCCTAAAGTCAGTCCTTTAAACAGTGGTTCTCATGCCTACCTGTAGACTCAAATTACTTGGTATAATTAGGTTCTATCCCAGGTTAAATAAGAAATTCTAGGAAGAAGGGGCCCCAGCAGAGTATACAACAAAAGCTCCCTCAGATGATTCTAATATACAAGCAGGGTTAAGAACCACTGTCTTTATTGAGAAGGCAGTGCATCTATTCATTACTGTTCATAAATATTTTCTCTTGGGACTTGGAAGTCTTCTTGCTTTTACCAGTACTTTCTGTATAATGGTCTTTCCTTTGTATGGTAAATCAGTCTTTTCCCTGGAGCTGTTCTGACTTTAGGAAGTGTACAGCTTTGCCAGATGTGTCAGCTCAATGTCAAATTCTTTTCCTTTATTATCCTGATAGAGATGTATTATGTTTTCCAGAATCCGAGGTGTGGTCTTGAAGTAGTGTAAAGGAATTCAAATATTTTGTCTATTATCTCCTCTGAAAATATGTTCAAGTTGACCTTTTCATTCTGTCTTAACTTCTATACACATTTCCCCTTTGATGCTTTGTTCTGATTTCTGGATAATTTCTTAACATCTTTCTTTAGCTGCATTTAATTGTAGTTATTTTCATTTCTAGAACTTAACTTTTTAAAAACTGCCCAGTAATTTGACAGCTTTTTAGCAAATACCTTATTCTTATCATCAACTGCTTCTTTTATTTTATGTACTTTATGCCATCTGCTAATTCCAGTTCTTGCAGTGTTGGAGGGTTTTGTTCTGCTAGTTTCCATTAGCTCTCATTCATGCAGCCTTGCTTCTATACATATTTTGTAATTTTTTCTTGTAAGCTCCTATTTGTTGGACCTGTATCGATGGGAATTCTTTGAGGCCCAACTTGAGATATTTCTTTTTTTTTTAATTTTATTTATTTATCTTTAGAGGGGAAGGGAAGGAGAGAGGGAGAGAAACATCAATGTATGGTTGCCTTTCATGCATCCCCTGCTGGGAACTGGCCTGCAGGAAACCGGCCTGCAACCCGGGTATGTGCCCTGACTGGGAATCGAACCGCAATTGTCTGGTTCACAGGCCCGCGCTCAGTCCACTGAGCTACACCAGCCAGGGCTGCCAACTTGAGATATTTCAAAGAGTAAATTAATTTACACTGCTTCTTGCTTGACATCTGTGAGCACTGTCAACCAAGGTTTACTTTATATTAGAATTGAATTCTTAGCTTGCAGTTCTTCAGACCACACAGATCGTGAATTTAGGCACCAAGTCTACAGAAGGACTAGAGTACTCTCCCAATCATCCTGATTATGGAGCTAAAACAAATACCCTGGCTTTCTTGCAACACATATAAAGTATTTCAAAACACCTTTTCGTATCTAGCACTTTTAAGGATTCAGGGTATCCAATCTGCTCTACAACTGGAAATAAAAGTGTGCTCACATTCTTCATAGTCATTTCCAAGGTAAAATCGCTCTGAGTCTTCAAATAAAGAAAGCCAAATAAATTCGCTATAAATTCTGGAGTACAAGAATCTATTCAATTCTTTGCACTGATCAGCTTCAACTGTTTAAAGCTCTCAAAATATACAAATTCAATGTAAATTATTACCTTTTTAACACTTGCAGAGAAATCCGCTACTATTTTTAAAATATTATTGGTTTCAGGGAAGTCCTTACAAATGTAAGGTTCTTCAGCACATATCACTCTGATTGCCAGACCAGGACCTGCAGAGAAGAGTAACAATGGTATTTAACATAAAAATGTCACCACTCCCAAAATATAAAATCCTTTCAAAAATTAAACCCCATGTGCCATTTTAAGGGTTTTTTTTCTTAGTCTTACTGAGATATAAAAATTGACATATCACCACTGCAAATAGTTTTGAGGATCAAATAAGACAATATGTGTAAAGTATTTAGCAGAATGCCTAGCACATATCAGTACTCAAGAAATGTGAGCTATGACTGTTTTTTATTTTAATTAGACCGTTATCTAAACTCATCTCCAAATGATGAGCTAGAAACTGAGGTACAGACTTGCCTAAATTCATAATAAAAACATGTTAAAATTCTCAGTCCTAACTTTAAACAAATATCACCTCTAATTAATTATTTTTCTAAATAACAGCAAATGACTATTTAAAGCGTATTTTTTACTTGTTCATGAAGTTACCCACAGCCTGTGCAAAGAAGTGGTTCAGTAATTCAGACAAGTGAGCCGTGGTATAAGGTTCTCAGAGCACAGTTTGAGCCCGGGCTTCTATCACAGCATCACAGAGAGAAGCCCACACGTCCCAGCTCTGACACCGAGAACGGTCTGGGATGTTATTCAATATCCCTGTGCCTTGGTTTTCTCATCCAATGGCAACATTATATGCCAGACACACAGGAGTGGTACAATATTTAAATGTAAGTACGATGGAAAATACGTATTTAATAAAGTAAAGTATATACACTAGGTACTAAAAAGAATGCTTATTCCCTAAACACCTTTTCCATTCCCTCAGGTTACATACTGCCCGTGATAACACATTATTTCAAAATTGTCTGAACTGATTTTTCTTCAAAATGAAGGTCTAAAAACAAATACAGAATTCAATTTTAATTTTACCTGGGAATGGGTGCCTGGAAACTAACTCTTCTGGAAGTCCAAGTTCTCTGCCTAAAATTCTTACTTCATCTTTATGAAAATCTTTCAGAGGTTCTATTACTTTTCCCTACGGCAGGAAAAAAGCCAATTAACACAAACTAGAAACCAAAGTGACACGGGAAACAAAGAATAACAAATTATTGGCTTTCCCTGTTATCTTTTACCTTAGATTTAAAAATCCGTTTTTAAAACTTCATTTCTTCCTGCATGCTTAGGCATTAAATGAATTATTTTAGTGATCTTATCTCTATTTGAAACACATTTTAAATATACACAAAGCAAACCTTCCCTCTATCTTTGATATAGTTCTCACTAGATGACAAGGCAAGTTAAAAATATACTAGTGTTTCAAAATAAAACTCTCCAAATACCATCAAGTAAGTGAAAAGACAACCCACATTAGACAAATCATAAAGCTTATAAAGAACTTGTAATTATATTAAAAACCCAATTTAAGAAGATAATAAACCAATTTAAAAAGGATCAAAAGATCTGAACTGATATTTCTCCAAAGATATATAAACAGGCAATAAGCACATAAAAAATGTTTAACATCATCAGCTATTAGAAAAATGCAAATCAAAACCACAATGAGACACCACTACACTTTCACTAAGATACTCAAAATAAAGAGATAATTCAGCCATTATGATAGCTACAATCAGAACAACAGAGAATAACAACTGTCGGCAAGGTATGGAGAAATGAGAACTCTTGGCATTGTTGATGGGAATGTCACATGGCATAAGCACTATGGAAATATTAAGAGAGCCTCAACATATTAAAAATATAACTATTATATAACTATAACTAATATAACTATATATTTATTATATAACTATATATAAAAATATAACTACTATTATGATTCAGCGATCCCAATTCTTGGCTTTCCAAAAGAACTGAAAGCAGAGTCTACAAAAGATACTTGCAAACCCATATTTACCACACAATTCACAATAACCAAAAGTGGAGGCAACCAAAGTCTACACTGACAGAGAAGTGGATACACAAAATGGGTGTATACATCCAACGGGATACTATCCAGCCTTGAAAAGGACATCTTAACATGGACTAACCTTGAGGACCTATGCTAAGTGAAATACGCCAGACATAGTATGATTTCACTTACATGAGCTACCTGAATTAGTCAAATCATTGAAAGAGAAAAGCAGAATTGTGACTATCAGGGGATGGGGGGAGGGAGAAAAAAGGAGCTGTTGTTGTTCCAGGGGCATAGAGAGTGTCAGATTGCAAGATGAAAAGTTACAGAAATCTGTTTCACAACAATGCAAATACAACAAACACTACTGAACTGTACACTTAAAAATGGTTAAGGGAGGGAAGAAAAGAGGCTTTAAGGGGAAGTGCACATAAGTTTTTACCTCTTCTCTTAACTTCCTGATAAGCTCTGTGTCATTATGATGGGTTTTGATGAGTTCAGCTTTGCCACTTGCAACAAGGGATGCACTTTCAATGAGATCAGGCCGTAAGGTACCTTGGGCAAGGAAAACCTCCTCGGGTTTCAGGTTCATTTCTCCAATTACTTCATTGGCAATCTACAGCCAAAAGGAGCAAAACAGCCTTTTAAAAGGTGATTCTTTTACCAAGACAGCAAAATTTTATACTTTCAGCTAAATTTCTCAAAAGTCCTTGTGCAACGTTGACCAATGAAACCCACCCATTCCCAAGACAAACTCCTTTAAGAACACTAAGAACATGCTTTCACATGCTTCAAAAAGGTCTGCAAACATTCCCCCCTCCAAAAGCTAAAACCTAGCCACTGAAACACTGAACAACTAATATCAACTGAAGATAGCTGTTCTTAGTTAAAACAATAGCATGACATAAGTACACATTTTCTAAATACAAAACAGTTTCTACCGGTCTACATAACAGCAATATACAGTAAAACTCTTAGCAAAAAAAAACAAAGTGAGCAAATTCACTTATTTGATAATAATGACAAAGAAAAACACTAAAATTCACATCAAATAATGCTACACAGAGGATGTTAAAAAGGTACCTTAACAAAAGTATCCCCAATAATTTTTCTTTTCTCCTCAGGACTTGTAGTCATATTTAACGTTTTGCTAATTCTTTTCCTTGGAGTTCTGTCTTCCTCTGATATTGGCAGAGTTGTTGTTCCATTGTAGAAAGAGTGAGCAGCATTTATCACTGGGCAAGAGAGCAGAAACATGTTTTAATTTAAAAGAAGATTTTTAGCCCTGGCTGGCGTGCCTGGTATTGACATGCCCAAGTCCGAAGCCTCTCCTGTTTAGCATCTCCACAGAAGAAATCCAGTTTTCTGATGGAGAGGGACAGCAGCAGTTTGTTCCCATGCTGAGGAAAAGATCTGCCCCCCAGTTTTCCACCAGTCCGTCCACTTTAGGCTCACCCAGAGAACCATGCCCCCCTTGCTTCCATTTGCTGAGCCTCCCAGAAGTCTTGCTTTTGTTGGCTTCCTCCCCCCGCCCCACCCCTCGGCCCGAGTCCTCCATTTTACTCTGTAAGTTACAAGGAACAGAGGCAGGTTTTTGTGGGGCTAAGAATGTTTACAATTTGAAGGTTCTTTTCAAGAAAAAGAATAACAAATTAAGTATTTTAAGATTAGCCATCAATACTAGGATGGCTAACAGGAACTTACCTATACACAAAAACAATTACAAATCATGCACGTACAGGCATGCCTCGTTTTACTGTGCTTTGATTTATTGCATCTCACAGATACTACTAGTTTATTTATTTATTTATTTTTTACAAATGGAAGGCAAGAACCTCCACTTGCAAAAAAGATTATGATTCACCTTATTATGATGGTCTGAAATGGAACTTGCTGTATCTCTGAGGCACACCTATACCACCAAACCTAAATGAAATGTAAACCTAATTCAACCTTTTCTTAGCTTAATCCCAAAATACTCACAGCCACTCGAACACGACCCAGTATAAAGCCAGTTAGAGAGAGAGAAAACAAAGTGAACTTAATTAATTACACATTATTAAAATATCTCTCTTGTGCCCTGGCTGGTGTGGCTCAGTGGATTGAGTGCTGGCCTGTGAACCAATAGGTCACCAGTTCAATTCCCAGTCAAGGCACATGCCTGGGTTACAGGCCAGGTCCCCAGATGGGGGCATGTGAGAGGCAACCACATATTGCTGTTCCTCTCTCACTCTTTCTCCTTCCTTTCCCCTCTCTCTAAAAGTAAATAAATTTAAAAAATTTAAAAATTAAATATAAAATATATCTCACTTGTAAATTCATTAAAATATGACCATTTGAAGAGAGTCCTAGGGTCCCTCCTAGAATTCTGGAAAAGATTTGGCATGAGGGATCATGAAATTTAAACTTCACTAGTTACAGACAACTGGCTTTATCCATCAGCTTTCCACCTTCAACATACTGTTGAAGCCATTAGACCCCTTAGCCCCTCCTCTATTCTTTGTCCTTGCGGCATGACACTTGTTTTATGCCCATACTGTCATTTAAGTGAAGCTTCAAAAGGAGAAACAGACTCCTCTTCATGTTTACTACAAGTCTTCATTTTACACTCAACCTTTTCAGCACAGATTCCAATTAGTTCCATAATATATAAGGCTTCCGTAATTAAACTACTGACTTGATTTCACTACAACTATTGATAGCACCTTATTTTTTTAAAAAGATTTCCCCTGCACCCCCCCCCTTCCCCTCCCCTCTAAAGGTAAATAAATAAAATTCTTTAAAAAAAATAAAATAAAAATTAAATAAATAAATAAATAAATAAATAAAGATTTCCACGAATGTAAATGCAGTTATGGCCTGAGAAGCTTACTAGTGGCCTTAAAAAAAATGGCTATAGCCTTTTCAGTCCTCCTCCATATCAGCCTTCCTGTTTGTAAAATAATCTGTATAACCACACCTGCTGTAGGCAGGCTTGGGTATTCTCATGCATTAATATCACTGGGAAAAGATAACTTACAAAAACAAAGAGAATGAATAGAAGAGAACAATGATAGCTAGAAATTGGTAACTTGCTGATCTATATATAACATTAGGAGTAATTAACAGTTTTAAAATTTATACAGGGACCCTTTCTGAACCAGAAGTAATTATAACATAAAAAAAAATATTTTCAACCATGAGGTTATTTCAGTGGTACTTGACTAAGGCAATGTGCTTCCTTGATGTGTGGTTTATAAGGCTAGATTTGACTCAAGCACTCCTGACATGCAAATTAACTTTTCTGGGGTTCATCAATACCTTTGACCTGAATTCCCAGTTTTTTGAGGGCCTCTTCTACAGACTGGCTTTCTCGTTTTCTCATAAAGCCATTGTCAATGTGCACAGCAATGACCTGATCTTGGTTCAAAGCACGATTCAGCAAAGCCGTACAAACTGTCGAGTCTACTCCGCCACTGAGCAAAACCTATAGGGTAAAATGAAAAAATCAAATTGAGTACAATAAGCAAAAAACAAAAATGAAAACTATCAGCTCAGATCATTACCTAAAAACACTGCATCCTGGGGATACATGGTAACTGAAAAGGCACTCGGAAACAGCGCAACTCACGAAGCGCATGACCACCCAGTCCACACTCGATGTTGAAGAAGCCAGCTCTGAGTTCCAGCATTAGACATACATTTGTAGACTTTTTGCTTACCAAAACTTTGGACGTGCCTACTCTCTCCTTGATCTCTTGAATGCACTCGAGTTCTCTGTTCTGCACAGTGAAGGTCCCACTGCACCCAGCTATTTCATACAGGAAGTTCTTCAGTATTACTTTCCCATTTTCTGTAAGGCCAACTTCAGGGTGGAACTGTACTGCATATAATTTTTTAGATTCATTTGCTATACCTTTACAGAGAAAATAATCACATATTAAAATTTTTCATATTCAAAAGGCTTATCTAGTATCCACAGTAATTCCTCACAATTTCTTCCTCTAGAAATGTGCAGATTGATATAAATTAGTTGGATTTTTAGAAACAGGAAAAGATAATAAAAACAAAAACTGTATTATCATGATCTTTCTTTATAAAAATCTTATGTAACAATTACTGAACCATATGACAGTAAATAAGCCCTACAGAGATTATTTCACAGTACCTCACTTCACCGAGATTACTTTAATTCTCCTGATTATTTAATGCAATAACTCAATTTTGGTTCTTGGACCCACATGGCTTTCACATGCAATATGCATGTACCAATTTTCTCTATGAGAAGAGCAGAAGTGAGACCATAGAGTATTCCAAGTATAAATATAATTTCACTGACTTGACTGATGTGTTTCTAACAATTACTGATTAACTACTGCGTATCAGATGTTAGGTTAGATATTTTCCATGTGCATATATTACCCCCATTAAGAGATATCAAGATACTTGCCTGAACTCAGAGTTAAGTAGTTAAAACAGGCCTGAAGGCTCCCACACTCATACTCATTCCACTATGTTAGGGCACCTCACACTCTATTTACTTGGCTTCCAGGGCGCCACTCTCCCAGTTCAATTCTTAATTCACCGTCTGCTCCTTCTGAATCCTTTGTTGGTTCCTCTTCATCTTAGGCAAGCTGCCCACTGCTCTGCCCTTAAATCTCTTCTCTGTACATTCTGAGTGACCTCAAACTCTCATGACCTCAAATTCCACACACATGGTGGAACACTCCCAAATCTCTACCTCTAGCCCAGTTCTCTCCAGTCTAGACTCATGTACACAACTGCCTACTCGTACTCTCATTTCAACATTTAATAAGGCATCTTGAATTAAATATGCAAACCCAAACTTCTGCATTCTTTCCCATTAGATAAATGGAAGCTTCATCCTCTGGATCTCAGGCTGAAAAACTTGGGAGTTAAAACTTGACTCTACTCTCATTTCCCCACTCCACATGCAATCCAACAGCAAGTCCTCTACACCTCCCTTCAAAACATACCAGAATTCAGTCTAACTTCCCTTTTCTACACCAGCATGTAAAAAGCTGGATAATGCCACATTGTCCTAACTAGAAGTAAAAAGCTGACTATTGCCCTTGGAGAAACTAATGGGCAAGTACAGAGAATCACAACTTAAAAGAGCAGAAACCCATGAGCTTCAACTCCACAGGAACCACTGCCGAGCTGGGAAAACCTCAACTACAACTGATGCATTCTTTCAGCTCAGCTGAAAGAATTCTGAGAGAAAAAAACTCCAGAAGCACCCAGTCACTGGGGGCACCCACACTTTCATGAATGGTATGTCCAGCAGAGTTTGGTAAATTTTTCCCATAAAGGGCCAGAAAGTATTTCAGCCTTTGCAGGCCCTACTGTCACTAAAGCAAATACAATCATGTACAGCAGGGGCGTCAGACTCATTTTCACTGGAGGCCAGATCAGCCTCGCGGTTGCCTTCAAAGGACCGAATGTAACTTTAGGGCTGTGTAAATGTAACTCCTCCTTAACAGTTAAGCGAGAGCTCAGCACTGCTGCTGAGTAGAAACACGGTGCCAGGCTGGATAAAACAAGGTGGAGGGCTGATTCGGTCCGCGGGCCTTGTGTTTGCCACCTGTGATCTACAAGCAATACTTAAAGTAATGGATATTGCTGTGTTCCAATAAAACTTTATAAACACAGAAATTTGAATTTCATTTAATTTTCACATGTCATAAAATAGAATTCTCTTTAAAAATTGTTTTCCAACCACTTAAACACATAAAAACCATAGTAGCTTGTAGGTCATGAGAAAACAGGCAGTGGGCCAGGTCTGGTGGGAGGCTGTAGTTTGCTGACTCCTTGACTCTAGGACCAAGTCCAAGCTCCTCATATTGAACAAAGACTCTTCATGAAATGGCCACTGTCTAATTAATCTCATCTCTTATCTGCCCATTCATTCTCTACTCCGGACATTCAAGCAAGTGTGATTACCAAACAGACCATGCTCTCAACTCCAGGTCTATGCAAAAAACCTCAAAGCAGCAGCAGCAGCAACAACAAACTCCTGAATAGTAAGTGATCGGAGCTGGACTGCAGAATACAGGTTAATACCAAAAGTTCATTGCTTTCCCATAGAGCAGAAATTTGAAATTTAAAGCACAATACAATATAAGCACACTCCCAAAATGAAATAGGTACAAATCTAACAAAATGCACATAAGACCTCTGAGCATCCCCTCACCCCTGCCCACCACTGCCGCCTGTCACACTGCTCCTTAGACGGCTCTCTCTCCTCTCCTGATCACCACCACGGGTTCCTAGCTGTGCTCCCTGCCTCTGCATCTGATCTTCCCTTTTCTCCTCACGATACCCAGCGCACGATGAATAAAGTAAATGGTTTCATAGTGGCCTCAAAGGTCCAGTGTGCTGGTGCCCAGCAACCCCTCTGGCCTCCACTCTGGCCACCTAGTCTCCCTGCTGTTCTCAAACATGGTCTCATCCAAGAAGCTCCATACTGCTCTTTCCTTTTCCTCCCAATATCTGGAAGGGTCTGCACGTACTTCCTTCATGTCCAATATCATCCTGCAGAAATACTTTCCCTGAGTACACAAACCGTTAACAACCCTACACCACACACACTCTGCCGCACTCCTCTCTTCCCCTAGTTTTTCAACGTACTTATTTAATAAACGCTGCCAACTGATACTCTGTATTGTCTGTCCCTCCCCTTAACTAGAATGTTAAACCAAGATTTTTGTCCATTTTGTTCATTACTTTATCTTGGCACCTAGAACTGTGCATGGTACATAGTAGGTACTCAATTATTTGTTAAATGAATAAAAATGCATAAGCCATCCACCACTGTTGATCTTCCAGATGAAGTGAAAACATTTCAATATGAAAACCATTCTTGATCATTCTTATGGGAATATATTAGTCTCTTAAGTAACTGCGGGAAGATTACTCAATTCGTTTTATCCATGACGAATCTTTCTTCAATGTATTATTTATTATTAGATAAGGCATTTTAAACAAAAAACTTAATTAATAAAGCCACTTTTTCTTTTACTGACTTCTAGGACTACTGGTGATTTATTTACATTACATTATCAAGTAGGCAAGTAATTACAAACAACCAGAAAATCCATTCCTCTTCTTCAAAAAAGCAGTGCATGGGCTGACAAACTTTCTACAGAGAGCTACACAGTAAAAATGTGAGGCTTTATGGGATGCGTATGTATAGTCTCTCTCTTACTATAACCCTTTAATAATGTAACAATTATATTCTTAACTTTGGACATACAAAAACCGGCTACTTGCTGGATCTGACTCAAAGGTTAGAGTTGCCAACCCTGGTTCAGAGAAACACCCCTGTGTGCTTGGTCCAGTGTCCTGCAGCTGTCCAAGGCACACGCCTATGTGTGCCTAAGAAAGGCGTTTAAAGAGGCAATCATGAACATATCACGCTAGAAAGATGGACGGTCTTCAAATTTTTCCTGAGCTGTAAAAGTATAGCTGCTGTGCTTTATGTCTGAGAAACTTATGTTAGGATAGACAGTTAAAAAGTATTCCAGAGCAAACCAGTAAGTAACTTCTAAATAATCCTAGTACTAAATTCCCTTCACAAATTGGTGATTAATCCTATAACACTTATAATATCTTTAAAAAAATGAGAAAAACCAAAGAGTACCTCATATGGAAACATGCTTAGACTCTCCAGATAACTTTTTAAAAATAAAATCTGCAAAAGTTGTAGGGTTTTCACCTGCCACAATGTTCCCAGAACGTGCCACAACCTTGAATCCATCGGCGACTTTGTCTACACTGTCTCCATGGGTGAGCAGAACAATTTCTTCCTTCTGAAGGCCTCTGAACACACAAAAGGTAACACACAACATAAATATCTTCAACCCCATGATTAATGGGTTCTTTTGGTTTGTTTTTCCCCAGCTGGAGATATAACTGACATGTAACCTTGTGTAAGTTTAAGGTAATTATATATACACATATACAATTACAGTTGTACACCTTAATTATATACGAGGTCTATCCAGAGAGTATCCAGCTGTGTGTGTGTGACATCGGTGTAACCTGGCAGCCAGAGAATGGACTGGAAGGTGCGTGCGCAAACAATGAATGACAACCTCACCGTACTAGTCAGTGGGGGCAGTAGATGCCCTCGAGTGAGCACATGTACTATGTGGCCATCACGTTCAAAATGACTGAGCGGGTAAATGACAACACGTCAGCATAAATCTTCCATTAAGCTGGAACATTCCTCTGCAGAAATGATTCAGATGACTCAGAAGGCTGCAGCTGTGGGCAACTGGTGATTGGCAGCTTCATCACAACAACATGCCCACTCATGCATGACATCTCCTACTGAGTTTTTTTGGCGAAACATCAAATCACCCAGGTGACTTGGTCCCCCTACAGCCCAGATTTGGTGCCCTATGACTTCTGGCTTTTCCCTAAACTAAAATCTCCTTTAAAAGGGAAGAGATTTCAGACTGTCAGTGAGATTCAGGAAAATAAGAAAGGGCAGCTAATGGTGACTGGGAGAACTGTGTGAAGTCCCGAGATGCGTACTTGCAAGGGGACTGAGGCATCATTGTTCTATGTACAATGTTTCTTGTATCTTCTTAAAAAACAAAGTCTCTATTTTTCATATCACTGGCTGGATACATTCTGGACAGAACTTATATGTATCGCCGTGGTGAAATGATAACCACAGTAAGGTTAGTGCCCACATCCAGCACTTCACAGAGTTACCATCTGTGTGTGTGGTGAGAACACTTAAGATCTACTCTCTTAACAACTTTCAAGGACACAACACAGTGTTGTTAACTGTAGTCACCATGATGTATACTAGATCCCCAGAACTTATTCATCTTACAACTGAAAGTTTGTTCTTTTGCTTTAGAAATACCAGTTTGCCATATGTATAGATCAAGAAAATAAAAATAAACAAGTAACAATGTAACACTGCTAGAATTTAAATTATTCTCTCCATTATCAATAAAGCCAATAAAAGAATATTAAATCTAGGTCAAAAAGAAGTAACCAATAGTCCATCAAAATGGGCTTTACCCAAAACATGGAAAAAACCCAAAGAGAAAACAAATGACTAAAACTTAAGTCTTCTGGTTTTCAGAAAACTCAAACCAATTTTGAATCCTCATTCAGGGACATGTCCTTTGATTTTAGAGACAAAGGAAGAAAGGGAGAGGGGAAAAGAGAGAGAGAGACAGTGAGTGGATGCTTCCTGCACACGCCCTAACCAGGGGTTGAACCCACAACCCAAGTACATGCCCTGACTGGGGGTCCAACACGCAACCTTTTGCCTCCTGGTGCCCAGGATGCTGCTGCAAGCAACTGAGCCACCTTGCCAGGGTCGATCTGTTTTTTTTTTTTTTAAAGTAAAGCAGAAGATAAATAATTCTAGGAAATTAGTGAACGGCTCATTTGCAAATTTTAAATAGATTAAAGCTTTACATCTAATCTATTATCATGTAGCAATAAAATTCATATACCCACTGCATTAAAAAGGATAGTATACCAGATCCAGTTATGCTCAAATTAAGAAAATTAAGAGGAGACGCAGCACCTATTAAGTAATGAGGCCTACAGATGGATGGCTTACTACCCCCAAGAACGTGGTGGGAAGAAGGTATACAAATACATTTGGCAGATGCAAGGCAGAGTAACATGGTATCCATTTGCCACATCTGGTACGCATATTTAGAATCACTCCACACCAAAGAGGAAAAGGAAAACTACAGATGTTGACATCACAATATGTAATCCCAAATATGTGTTCAAGGCAGCAAAGGTGCTTTTAAATTATGTTGTAAGTGCTTTCCTTATTCCTACTTAACATCAGCATTTCCTTTGCTGTCTTGACACTAAACTGGAAGACAAATACTGTGACAATCCTACCTTTGGCCAGTGCTGTGGCCTTAATTTTGTCTAAGACTTACAGAATCTCTAATTCTGAAGCATAACGACCCCATCTTTAAATTAATCGACTACCATTCTTGGTCATCTAAGTTTCTGTAATACCTGAATAGGGAGCATGTGTTATCCACACTAATACTGAAGACCCCGTCTTCTCGAACATTTTTTTTGTGCACAGTACCTCCAAATACTTTATTCATCATCTGTTCAAAAGAGAAAATAATGTTAGCATAAATTTTTTTAAATACCCATTTGCTTTTGCTAATTTTATTTATATTCCTGGTTTTTAGGATATAGTATGCTTGTGCCCCCAAATAAAGGTAGTTTGATAAATGTAGGTAACCTGACATTATTATATATATACGGTTATTAAGAGACATCATTATAAAACAAACTAGATTAAAAATCTGACCCGAGGTTAATTTCCATTAAACACTGGCAGATTTTCCATTTAATATACTTTAATTAATTCATCTATTAAAAATAAATTTAATACGTTCTTCTGAATTCAAATTAAAAGCATTTTAAAAGATAATACGAGCTCAGAAAAGGCTACAGTAAACAAGAAGAGCTATGGTATCAAAACGAGACAGGTATGAGTTCCTCCAAGCTGTCTCACGTGTTCCCCAAAGGAAGAGTCCGAAGGCCGGTGGAAGGCTGTGTGCTAAGGGGACAGGGTGAGTTAAAAAACCCTAGTCCTTCAACTGAACTCATCTGGGCAAATCCCACTCACCTAAAGACTCTTATTTCAAATGGTCTCTTCATTCTGCCCTGCCTGTGTCAGTCACTCTTTTTTTAAAATCTACATGTACATATGTCCAAACCCTCCAACACCAAATAAATACAAACGAGATTTTTATAAACATTAAATCTGCACTGATAGAATAACTGCCATATGCCACTCCACAACAGGCGTCATATCTATCAAAATAATGCATGACGACAACTGATCCAGACTAACAGAAAAGTAGGCAGAAGGCTGAATAAACGTTCATTCTATAATGCACAGTGGCACAGTCTTCAAAACCATCACCAAATGCTGCCCTATATACTCTCCTTTGAAGACATTCACAATAAACCTTCCTGCAACAAAAGTCTGGGTCAGCCCTGACTGGTGTGGCTCAGCAGACTGAGCACCAGCCTGTGAACCAAAGGGTCGCCGGTTCGATTCCAAGTCAGGGCACATGCCTGGGCTGCGGGACAGGTCCCCAGCAGGTGGCGTGCAAGAAGCAACCACACAATGATATTTCTATTTTTCCCTCCCTTTTCCCGTCTATAAGTAAATAAAATATTTAATTTAAAAAACCCTCGGTTTAAAAAAAAGTTTGGGTCAAGCCTCTTAGGAAAGAAACTTGCTAAACCTTGTTTAACCCAGCATAGGTATACTTCATTTTTATTGTGCTTACTTTACTGCTCTTCATAAGATATTGTCTTTTTTCTTTTATTTTTTAAAATGAATTGAAGGCAACAGCTTCCACGAGGAGGGAAAAAAAGGGTGATGACCCATGTTGGTGTGGTGGCCTGGAACTGAAACTGCGGTGTCCCTGACACACGGCTGCAGCAGCTTCGGCTGCTGAAACACAGATGGTGTTGGTCCGGGTTTCCTCAATGGTGCTTTCCAATTTACAACAGGGATTGGTCAATTTCTCCTACGAAGGGCCAGAGGGTATTTTAGGCTTTGCAGGCCCTACTGTCTCTGAAGCAACTATTCAACTCTTGCTGTTGTAGCACAAAAGCATCCATAAACAATACTTAAAAGTAATGAGTTTCGCTGTGTTCAAATGAAACTTTATTTACAAACACTGAAATTTGACTTTCATTTAATTTCACATGTCACAAAATAGAATTCCCTAAAAATTTTTTTCCAACTACTTAAAAACACAAAAACCATTCTTAGCTTGCGGGTCATAAAAAAACAGGCAGTGGGCCAGGTCTGGTGGGAGGCTGTAGCGTGCTGACTCCTTGACTCTAGGACCAAGTCCAAGTCCCTCATATTGAACAAAGACTCTCCATGAAATGGCCACTGTCTAATTAATCTCATCTCCTATCTGCCCATTCATTCTCTACTCCGGACATTCAAGCAAGTGTGATTACCAAACAGACCTCGCCAACCACATCTTCAGGTCTCTTCATAGTCCCAGGCCATGCCTGGCCTCACAAAGTGGGTGGCCCAGAGCAGTCATTCAAATTTGCTGAATGAAATTTGCTTCTATATATTCAATGAACCTTGTGCACCTCTAATTTGCAGTTCTTAATTAGAAGACAGCTGAATGATCAAGATAAGCAAAGCTGTTGGAACTCTACACAATTTAAAAGTCCATAAAGTTCACTGCATCCACTGACAGTCCTTGAACAATCTAATATTCTTTTGGTTTGTACTAGGATGCAAAAGAAAAAACTGCCTGCGCTTTCTGTCTGTCTTTGTGGCAGCCCAGATTGAACAGGGGACTACATCTACAGGGAAAAAGGAAAAAAAGAAGAAGAAGAAAGTCCATAAAGTTCAAATTAAAGGCTTTTTACAAAGATAATGGCTTGCCATAAAGTTTAAAGCTATTTCACCTACATGTTCAAAAGGCTTTCATACTTATTTTTGAAGGGTGATCTAAAAAGTAACTTTAAAAAAAAGACTGTCTATGAAAGAGAAGGAAGACTGAGGAGTGGTTCCAAACTAAAGGAGTCTAAAGAGTCGTGACGACTTAAACACACAATTCAAGACTGGGTAAGGGTCTTCTGAGGGGCATTAATGAGAAAAACTGAAATGTGAATGAAGTCTGTGGTTTAGATGCTAACACTGAACTAATATTAATTTCTGATTTTGATAGTTGCACTGGGATTATATAGGAGAAAGTCCTAGCACTTAGGAAATACGAGTTATCATCATGTCTGCAACTTATTCTTAAGTAATTAAACATGTCAACATTTTGGGAAAATAAGCAAAAGTATTCAGGAGCTCTATGCACTATTTTTGCTACTTTTCTAGACATATGAAGGTCTGAGTTGTTTTTATTTTAATGGACAGTATTATTGTTGTATCCAGTAATCTAGTTACTTTTCTGAAAACAGTTTCCTACTCAGGTCAGTTTTGCCATACTGGTGAAGCAATTCATAAACAGTTGTAATATACACAAATTTACTTCATACAACTACATATCCTAAATAGTCTAAAGACAGAAAATACTAACAGAGTAGGATATAAACAGAATAAAATTAAATCAACAGTTAAGACCAATTCACAGATGTACCTGCATGCCATAGCAAATCCCAAGAACAGGCTTGCCAATAGTGAATATTGCAGGATCAAACCAGGGAGCATCTTCGGCATACACAGAATTAGGTCCTCCAGAGATGATAATGGCACTGTAGGTTGAAGGAGGAAGAGTCAGCAAAGAAGCAGATTTTTATATAAAGTCTACAGATTCGGAGATTTTATGTTTTGGGCGTATTATAGGATATCAAGACTCTATCACAGCTGATTATTGGGTTGGCCAAGAAGTTCATTTAATGTTTCTTTTTTTTTTTGTAAGATGGCTCTAGTAGCACTTAGTCAAAACAATTGTGTTAAGATTGTATTGTGACAACTGTCAAATCAGTGTGCATTTAAAAAAAGAAAAACTGCCCTGGCTGCCACTCAGTGGATTGAGTGCCAGCCTGTGAACTGAGAGGTCACTGGTTTGATTCCCAGTCAGGGCACATGCCTGGGTTGTGGGCCTGGTCCCGAGTTGGGGGTGTGAGAGAGGCAAGTGATGTCTCTCTCACACATTGATGTTTCTCTCCTCTTTCTCCTTCCCTTCCTCTCTAAAAATAAACAACATATTTTTTTAGATGTAAAAACAATTGTTAAAAACATCAAAATCGGTGGATTTGGGGGCAGCCATTTAATATTGAAGATGGCAGAAAATACACAACATTTCAACATAGTATGCTTTATTACTTCAAAAAAAAGTAAAAACACAACTGCAAAGCAAAAAAAGATTTGTGCAGTATATGGAGAAGGTGCCATGACTGATAGAATGTGTCAAAAGTGGCTTGCAAAGTTTCTTGGTACTAGTGACACTTTGGCCAAATAATTCGTTGCTGTGGGGCTGTCTTATGCATTAGATATTTAGCAACACCCCCAGGCTCTACCCACTAGAAGCCAATAGCTGGAGATAGCCGACATACTCAAAATATCCAAATCAATAAAATTATTGGTGAAAATGAAGAGTGTCTTTTATTTTACAGAAAAAACCATTCAGACTTTTTGGCCAACCCAACAGTATTCCTCCCACATGGCTTAATTATATTTCCTTTATTGCATGTACTGAAGCATCAATTCAACATTCACTTGTTAATAAACACAACTTCCAAATATATAAATACCAATGTTTCTATCCACAAAGGTGGCATAAATTTGTTTTGTTTCCCCCATCAGTGGAGAAAATAAATGAGAATTCTGGGAGCTGGAGAAAATACAGGTCGTTCTGGGAAGCAAGCAGTAAAGCAGGTTACTAAAAGTATTATGAAGGCCCCAGATAACTCAGGGCAAATATTCTGCAACAAAGGATGGCAGAATGTGAAGAGTTACCTAACTCTGCCTGTTTAAAACCTGTTCTACATTCCCAACAATTTTACCTGAAACCCAGGAAAGGAAGCTAACATCATTTTTACTCCAAATGCCCTGTTCAGAGAGCCAAGGTCAATATTATAATTTAGCAACACTACAATTCACAGAGCATTCTTTCTGCAGGTTAACTTAAGAATCAAACTATTAGGATAAAGGAAGCTGTAAACTGAAATCTGTTCCTCACCAGGCTGCCAATACATCAAATTTGACCCTTAGCATTGATTCAAGAAAATTTAGAACACTAATACTGTCATGGATTTTATGACTATTGTAGCCACAAAAATGCAGATTTCCAGGTTTTGTTTAGGAAAAAATGAGGAAGAAATCTGGCAAAATTAGGCCTTCACTCTCCCATGGCTGGAATCACGGACTTACACTAACACACCACATGCACTCTCCAGTTTGCCACGCATGCCCACTTACATAATACAGACGAACTTAGGCCCTTTACTCAATGTAAGGTATTCTCAAGCTAATCCTAAATTTGAGTTTTAAGGAATCCTGATGTATCTATATTTCTAAAGGAAAATATGCATACATTCCAAGATCTAACCAAAATGTATTTACAATCCAACATGGATTATAAATACCAATGTTATAATTAGTGGCCGCCTTCCACGCAAAACCATACAAACTAAAATGCTAGACTTATGATATTGTAGATCCAGAAAAATAGAAAATATAACAAAAGTCAAATTCACAAAAATTATTCAGCAAGCTAGAGCACTTTTTTTATTTTTTAAGTTTATTGGAAGACAATGCTTAGTAACATTTAGGTTTCGACTATACAATTCTATAATACATCATGTGAATATTTCATTGTGTGCTCACTACCCAAAGTCTAGTCTCTTTCACCATAAATTTTACCCAATTTACCTTATTCATCCTCCCCCACCCCAGGAATTTTGGAAAAAAACAATAGCTGTGGGTGGTGTAGTTCAGTGGACTGAGCGTGGAACTGCAAACCAGAGTCACAGGTTCAATTCCCAGTCAGGGCACATGCCTGGGTTGCAGGCCAGGCCCCCAGTAGGGAGCGTGCACGAGGCAACCACACAATGATGCTTCTCTCCCTCTATTTCCCATTCCCCCCTCTCTAAAAATAAATAAATAAAATCATTAAGTATATATGTGTGTGTATATATAACCATTTAAGTGAGCTCAAAGCTCCACTCTTTGAGCTTTGTATGTTATACACTATTAGCCTATATTCTTCAAAAAGAAACTGAAGAAAACCTACTCATATGATAAATTTAACATCTTTAAGATAACAATTCTAAAGGGGTTTGAGGTTATAACCTAGCTCCCTAAAAATGTAGAAACGAAAATTCTGTAAAACATATTTAATAGTCAGAACCTCTATAATTTTAGGACATTTAGTTTTATAAAGGACAGCCACCATGGGACTGCCCAGCATCCTTCATTAATCTGATAAACTCAAGGCTTTTAAGAGTTTTAATACTTGAAATAGTCTTAGTCAAAAATAAAAACTCAAGCAGTAGTTAAACCAATTATGAAAATTCTAATCTCATTAAATCTTGAGAAAAGCTAATCACTCATTGTAAGTCTTCTATTTCTATCCTATTACTTTGAAACTAACTTGCAGTTATCAGGCCCAATAAACCAAAAAGCATTTCAGATACCAATTTTACGTATGAGGGAGATCAAGGTTCTACAAACATGTAGGTTAACATGTCTCACGTCATAAAATTGTTATTCTCCCCCAGCTGGTGTGGCTCAGTGGATTGAGCACCAGCCTGCAAAGCAAAGGGTCACTGGTTCAATTCCCAGTCAAGGGCACATGCCTGGGTTGCGGGCCAGGTACCCAGTTGGGGGTGCATGGGAGGCAACCACACATTGATGTTTCTCTCCTTTTCTCCCTCCCTCTCCCTCTGTTTAAAAATAAATCTTTTCAAAACAACCAAACTAACTTATTCTACAAAAAAGGTAGTCAAACACTTACCTCAGCAGAAAAGATTATAGTAATAAAGCCACAATGCTTTAGTTCCTACACTCCTATACAGACAAGACGCTCTAGGCACAAGCAGGACCTAGGGACTGTTCATGATCGGGTGCCAAGAAAACCAATTAGACTTTTCTATTGCCAACTATAGGTCTACCCTATTCTAAAACAATCAGTCTGGGTTAGTTTGCTGGGGATATTTTTGTTGGTTTGTTTGGGTGGGGGAATGAAAGAGGCTTGGGCTTGACAGAAAGCCATTCAGATTTTTCACACACAGTTTTCTGATTCGCTTAAAACTGGTTCTCACTGGCAAATGAAGACAGGTGAGTTAGGTAAATTCAAGAGTCCCTTTTTATTCTAAAGATCTACAGTTTAGAAAAGATAGCTGTTTTCACCTGTATCTGAAGACTAAAAACTCAAAGAGTTAAATTAAACATGCCTTTTCTGATTTCCATTTCAGACTAATTCAGAAACAAGAATCACAGGACCGCGTATATATGTCTATGAAGTCTTTAAAAGTTAAAATTTTTCCCCTTAGGAAAAAGTTATATTTTTAAGAAAAATTAAAAACTTTCTATTTTGGAAGAAACAGCATTAACATGTAAGAGCCAATTAAGGTTACAAACGGCAATTTCTTACTTCTGGGTAAGAAAAAACATCAATTTCATGAGAAAAAGCACAGAATTAACCAGAAATAGCTATTAAAGGATGAGGGTTATATATAAGTTGGCTGCTGTTTGAACTAGTTATAAGAATACAAGCTGATATTAGCCCTTATATTAGACATAGGAAATCTTCGTATTTTAAAAATTAGTTTCTTAGGATAGGAAGCAAACTTCTGTGCACAGAATTCTTCTAATCTGCACATTCTAGCACTGTATATATTCCTTAGATCAAACGTTCTGGGACCAATCGAATGAATGAATGAATGAATGACCACAACAGCCATATCTGAGTCTGACCCAGAAATGCCAGGACATAAGATATTCAAATGGTAAGTCCTTAAAATTGTGCAATTAAACTTATGGTAATCTTTTTCATGGAAAAACTTAAATTTTTCTTAAAAAAAAAAATCAGCCCTGGCTGGTGTGGCTCAGCCTATTGAGTGTTGGCCTGTAAACCAAAGGGTCACTGGTTCAATTCCTAGTCAGGGTACATGCCTAGGTTGTGGGTCAGGTCCCCAGTAGGGACCAGGCCACTTGAGAGGCAACCACACACTGATATTTTCTCTCCCCCCCCTTTCTCCTCTCTAAAAATAATTAAATTAAATTAAAAATCAGAAGCGTGGGAAATTTCTTGTAAAACCATTCCATATCTTGTATTCATTAAAAACAAAATGCAGCCCTGGCTGGTGTAGCTGAGTGGATTGAGCGCGGGCCTGTGAACCAGACAACGCAGTTCGATTCCTAGTCAGGGCACATGCCTTGGCTGCAGGCCAGTTCCCAGTGGGGGATGCACAAGAGCCAATCATACATTGATATTTCTCTCCCTCTCTCCTTCCCTTCCCCTCTAAAAATAAATAAAATATTTTTTAAAAATGCAGTGCCCAAGCAAATGAATAATAAAATATCCTACAATGTAAGCTCAACCTCTCAGAAAAACGTAAGTGAAAAGTCTACCGGAATCCTTGCTCTTTTATGGCAAATGCTGGTGTTTCCAAGGGGAAGATTTCCGACTGCACGAAGAGTTCCCTCACTCTTCGGTCTATGACTTTTCCGTACTGAGCACCGGCGTCCAGAATGACCACAGCTCCTTCGTAGTGGTGGCAGCCATCCTTAATGTCTCCTCCAGCATTTTCTACCTGCAAATATTAATATACATGCCTTAATTTTGAAAGTTAGAGCTACCTTATAAAACGGTGGTCACTGTCAGCTCCAAAAACACACAGAACCAAAAACTGTTAACTTAGGACTTTCTAAATTATCAATTCAGAACACTTTGTTTAAAGTGAAGGTTTTTATACATACACATACCAGCATATACACTTTATATAAAAGCTACAACTTATTTTTTTATAATTTTTACTTATTGATTTGAGAGAGAGAGAAACATCAATGTTTTTCCACTTATTTATGCACTCACTGGTTGATTCTTATATGTGCCCTGACCCAGAACCAAATCCACAACCTTAGTGTATTAAGACAATCCTCTAACCAACTGAGCTACCTCAACAAGGCAAAAGCTACCATTTATTACCTCCATGACTGTCATTTTATGTATAATGCATCTTATATGCCTTATCTAATAATATGGTAAGCATACAACCCAGCTGCACCAAAATGTAGTCCTGATTTATGCCTGTTACACTAGCATTATTATTAATAATGCCTTTTCTAATCCCCAAAGCACTGCAATTGAGCAATAAATTGTATGCTCACCCTCCTTAGTACTCAGAGCCTTGCTATGATGGGCACACTGATGAGAAATTGTAAAGTCTGCTCTCAGAGTGTAAGCATGCCCAAATTCACTTTATTGGGGTTCTCTGAATTACCTGGGGGAAATGATATATATGCATCTAACCCATAACACTAAAGTTTTGAAGGTTTTTAAAATCTTATCTCTGTGTAGTACATTGATGACACTTTTCTAGAAAGTGATCCGACAAAACATAAAACTCACTAAGCACACTGAAGTAGTCACCTGAACTGGCTTCAAAATAATGCATGTGTAGGTGGTTGTGGATAAAACATAACTGCTTACGTACTGAAATCATTGAAGATGGCTGATAGGTATATTGCTTTCATTTTAGTCTAGTCTCTATGCTGTTTTGGATGTTTTACTTATGAAAAAGCTTTTAAAATGTGTACATACCTTGGAAATCCACTTGGAGGAAGCATACACAATATGGTCCCATTTTTAAATATTTTGTGTAAAAGCCCAAGAATGTATGGATTATGATGAAAAGGTACAGACATACATCAAAATATTAGCAAAGGCTGTATCTGAGTGAGAGAACTATAGGCTATCTTAAATTTACTTTTTATACATTCTTCAGTATATTCTAAATGTATATGACAAACATACATTGAGCTCCCCCCTTCCTTTATAAACCTGTGCATAAAAAAAGCTCAAATAGCTCTTTTAGGCACTTATGTAACCTCTCTATCCCTCCCTATCCCCTTTCCATTTATGTGAAAAAATAAACGCAGACCTCACAACACTACTCACACTTCTGCTACAGTGATGAAAAAAGCAACTATCATACCTGTCTACAGGTAAATTTGCAAAAGGACAAACCGCACACCAGAAAATTACTCAGATCACAAACATGACAGTTTTAATCTGTGATATTGAATTAATCTGGCATATTGAACAATGGTAGAAAAATCAGGTCACAGAAAAAAGCAGTTTATAGAACATATTGGTACAATAAAAAGCTAAAACTTTCTCCTTCCAGACCTTTGCCCTCAATCTTACCATACGTGTGTGTGCGTGCACACACACAGACACAATGCTCTTTAAGAAATGTATCTAAAATTCCTTAATCATAATTTATTTTTTGTAAAGAATAAAGTATTTTTTGAAGACCACTATATCTTTCAATCCCATTATCACCATCACAATTTTATTTTTTTACCAAATCCAAGTTCGACCTCACTTTGCATATTCCGACATGAATTTCAGTTACCATGGTTTATACGAAGCTTCAGTTAACTAAGACTGGCCCCAAAAAAGAGGGCTCCAATTTCATTTAACATAGATTAACTGTGGGTATATAAAGTATAAACTCAGTGGCAGTGCTTCAGTCCACAGATCATCATGTTAACAGATGAACAAACATCATGATCAGTAACCAATCATGACCCTTCTTTCAAAATCTGCTGGTGATTGATCATTGTACAACAAAGGGACAAGAGTACAAGTTGTTATGTCCTTGACACCCAGTGATAAATCCAGAAGATGTTTTACACATATGGATAATCCAACAAAGATGAAAGTGCTGTAAAGAAATGAAAAGAGATATGCTGGAAGTGAAATTCAAATCCAATGTGAATAGAGTTACAGAACAAATAACTGGCCCTGGCAATGTTGACAATGCTGTGGTTTGAGAACCTCTAGAACAGGGGTGTCAAACTCATCTTCACAGGAGCCACATCAGCCTCCTGGTCATCTTCAAAGCACCAGCTGTAATTTCAACTCCTTAACAGTTAAGGAGTCGTTACATGTATACAGTCCTCAAATTACATTCAGCTTTTTGAAGGCAACCACCAGGCTGAAGTGGCTCCTGGGGAAAATGAGTCTGACAGCCCTGCTCCAGAATGTGCAGCCAGAGGAACTTAGGAAAAACAAACTCATTAGTATCAACGAGAAAGGTTGCTGTGACGAAAAGGATGTCTCAGAGGAAGTGATTCCCAAGAAAATACTTCAAATTAAGGTAAATTTGCAGATATTCCATGACATTCAATGTGCAAAGGATAACTCTGCAAATGTTGAAAGCCATCAAAAGCATAGGAAAAATGCAAAGGGAGCTGGCAGGTGTGGCTCAATGGACTGAGTGCTGGACTGTAAAGCAAAGTGTCGGAAGTTCGATTCCCAGCCACGGCACATGCCTGGGTTGCAGGCCAGGTCCCCCAGTAGGGGGAGTGTGAGAGGCAACCATACACTGATGTTTCTCTCCCTTTCTCCCTCCCTTCCCTTCTCAAATAAATAAAATCTTTAGAACAAGAAAAAGTGAAAGGAAGCACTGTTTAAACTACTCTTGATAAATCTTTTACAAAGAAATAAAACAATTTTCAATGTTTCTATTTTTCTTTTAGATTTATTTTTAGAGAGAGGGGAAAGGAAGGAAAGAGAGGGAGAGAAACATCAATGTATGGTTGCCTCTCCAGTGCCCCATACCAGGCACCTGCCCCACAACCCAAGCACGTGCCCTGAGTAGGAATCAAACCAGTGACCCTTTGGCTCACAGGCCGGCACTCAATCTACTGAGTCACACCAGCCAGGGCTCAACATTTCTAATGTTTTCAGTTATAGTATACTATATAGTAGTTTTACCAATTTATCTCACTATATTTTTATAATTAACTGTAAAAGTTAATGTTTTAACAAGAATTTTTAAAGATCATGAAACTATCGTAATTTTCCCATTGATTATTAAAATCACTTTGCATAGTTTTGGTTTACATGATCATTATTATGGTTGTTTTACTATTGTGCAGTGATATAAACAGTTCTATATTTCTTTAAATCAAGTGTTATCTTAAATGTACTTTTAAAAGATAATTCTATACTGTTTTCTTAGCAATTTGTTCAAGTACAGTTGTCTCCATCTGCCCCCTACCACTCCCCCCACCCCAGCCACCCCCACCTCCCACCCTCGATCCTACCCCCCCCTTTGGTGTTGTCCGCGTGTCTTTTATACATGTTCCTAAAAACCCCTCCCACTTTTGCCCCTTTATCCCCTCCCCCCTCTCCTTTGGTTACTGTCAGTTTGTCCTTAATTTCACTGTCTCTGGTTATATTTTGCTCGCTTGTTTGTTTTGTTGATTAGCTTCCACTTATAGGTGAGATAACACAGTATTTGTCTTTCATGGACTGGCTTATTTCACTTAGCACAGGGGTGTCAAACTCATTTTCACAGGCTGGTTGTCTTCCAGCCTTCAAAGGACTAAATGTAATTGTAGGACTGCATAAATGTAACTATTCCATAATAGTTAAGTGAGAGTTTGGTGCTGCCACCGTGCAGAAACAAGATGCCAGGCTGGAGAAAACAAGGTGGAGGGCCAGTTTCCACATGCGGGCCTTGTGTTTGCCACCTGTGACTCAGCATAATGCTTTCCAGATCCATCCATGCTGTTCACAAAGGGTAGGAGCTCCTTGTTCCTTTCCACTGCACAGTATTCACTGTGTAAAAGTACCACAGCTTTTTGATCCACTCATTTACTGATGGGCACTTAGGTTGTTTCCAGCCCTTGGCTATTGTAAACTGTGCTATGAACACTGGGGTGCATAGGTTCTTCTGAACTGGTGTGTCAGGGTTCTTAGTGTATAATCCCAGCAGTGGAGTTGTCAGGTCAAAAGGCAGTTCCATTTTCAGTTTTCTTAGCAATTTTTTTAAATGTTCAATCACATTACACCACAGATCAATGAGGAAACACTGTGAATCAATCCTTGCCTCACTTCTTCCTACCTCAACCATCAACTATCCTATTCAGCACACGCTTCAACAACTCAGAGAAAAGCAAAAAGGTCTCTAGTAGAAAAAGCAAAAGTTCCTTTCCCTTAAAACCCTGAATCTTTACTCCTACTTCGCATTGAGTTGCAAAGTTTGACATTTAGACTTCCAAACCCTCAACAGGTTAGTCAAGTACCCAACTGAGAGAAGAAGCTGTTGTTCATATCAATAAGACAAATGAATTTCAAAAGACAGAAAAATCTATTATATCTATTTACAAAATCTATTTAAAAACTGTAAGACAAAAGACTAAAGGCCTAAGGTTTACATTCATCTCAACTAACCTGAGGTCATCATAATAAAGTAAATGATATTCATAAAAATATCATTTTAAGACATCAAGACAACATTAAGGAAAAAACTAAGCCATATTCAGCACCTTGTTTAAGAATAAGACAAAAGAATCTAGTAGAGTCTGAGAAGATGAAGATGGCACCATTTTTGGATCTTCCTGAATCCCCACATATCACTGAACAACCAGAGAGGAAAACCAAAAACATTTATCTTATAACTAAATGGCAAATTAACCCTCTAGAACTCAAACTTCAAGCTAGTCATAACAAACTACCAAAGTCATAAATGCTGCTATTATAGTCTCTGTGTGGGAAGCAACCAGGCCTCTTCAAGAACTTGAGAACAGGAAAATTCCAGAACTACCAATAGGTACTGGGTAGAAAGCACTGGGGCCAGATGAAGAACAGCAACCGCACGGAGAGGGAGGCGAGCCTATTCCAGTGGCGCACAGCGGGCAAGAGACCCAAGATGTGGCCCAAAGATGTGGAAGGGGTTTAATACCTATGAACCTTCAAAACTGACAGGCCAGGCAGGGTTCCCTTCCAAGACAGGCTCACAGTGAGGAGACACTGCTGGGAGCAGACTCAAAATCAAGTAGGACGAGGACAAGGGAGAGGAAATAGAAGGGCCAGGCTAAAGTGAAGCGAGAAGAAGGATCGGAGAGCCAGGAATCCTCAGGTAACAAGCATCCATAACGTTAACAGAAGAGGGAGCTCTATAAAGTTTTAGAATTTATCTGAATCAAGATTTCTTCTAAAAATTCGGGAATATTAAAGTCACAAGAAGAGAAACATGCCCTGGCTGGTAAGGCTCAGTGGATTGAGTACCGGCCTGTGAACCAGAGTTGCTGGTTCAATTCCCAGTCAGAGCACATGCCTGGGTTGTGGGAAGCATAAGAGGCAACCACACACTGATGTTTCTCTCCCTTTCTCCCTCTCTTCCTCTCTCTAAAAACAAAATAAATAAAATCTTTTTTTAAAAAAAAGGACATTGAAAATTTTTTTTCAGCTTTTTGTGGAATGCCCCACAACCAGGATTTATTTGTTGCCTCATGATTACATTCCAGGTAAACTTTTTTTGACCACAGTTTTTGCATTGGTGATATCATGCCTCCTCCTGATGTAGTATAATAAGGAAAAATGCTGTTTTGTTTCACTATTGGTGATACTGACTTCCATCAATTGGTAAAAATGTCTGTGTGCCTAAAACACAGAAATCTGATTCAAGTCTTCCCCCTGCTCAAAACCCTACAGCTAATTTCCCGTTAAAGTTTAATGAAGTCCAAAATACTTTCCAAGCCCTGGGAGGCCTTGGCTGACTGGTTAGCCTAAATGCTGTTTAAAGTCTCCATGGTGCCAGAGTGGTTTGCTGTCCTCTCTGGCTGAAAAATCCCAACATTGGTGAATCAATTTCAAACACTGTCAACTGAAAGACATCTGTGAAATTACACTGTATCTTAAATTTTCCCTTATGGAAAATAAATTGCCATAGTCTCTCAGGAAATTTCCCTTAGAACAGAAAGATAACCCAAGGGTCCAGGGAAAGAAATATAGGTGAATGTGGCTGAAAATGAACTTACCTAGACTAGACACGGTGGAGCTTTATGTAACTAACCATTATGTCACTCCTCTATGTACTCGATGAACACTCGAATGAAATCCCTGGAAAGTATAGTGGCTTGTTCTCCCTGGTGGTACGACTGGACATATGTAACTCCCTAACATTTATTTCAGTCAGCAAAACATTTAAAAAACATTTGGATAAGGATTGAGTTCTCTTTATTACCTGAAACACTTCCACTGACATCCTCTGGAAAGATGGAGGAAGTGCTAGCCTCAAAACATGCAGAGTAAGTTGTCAGTGGCCTGGAAAAAAAAATCCCAAAAGTAACTGGGCACTTTCAAGAGATGTTGAATCATCAAAATACTTGATGGTATAAAGTAGGGGTATCAAACTCTTTTTCACCAGAGGCCACATCAGCTTCGTGGTTGCCTTCAAAGGGCTGAATGTAATTTTAGGACTATATAAATGTAACTACCCCTTAACTAGGGGCAAGGAGCTCAGCACTGCCACCAGATAGAAACAAGGTGCCAGGCCGGATAAAACAAGGCTGAGGGCCGGATTCAGCCTGTGGGCCTTGTGTTTGCCACCTGTGGTATAGAAGATGTATAGAAAAATAAGACCTAGACAACTCAAGCCAGAAGTAATTTAGAAGGTTTAGAAATATCAAAACTAATTTATTTGATACATATAGATATCCTTTATTTGTGAACAAGTGGCATGTGATCCTGAAAAGTCTGTCTAAATAAGTCTCTTACTATTACACACACACACACACACACACACACACACACACACACGTGTATAATTCTAGGTGCAATTATTAAATACAAGTGACAGTTATGCAGTTGTTCACTGTATGCAACAAATGCATAAAATGCCTTTAGAAAATAATATTGTGCCTGAAAAAAAATCTATTAAGTCACAAGACATCCCCCAATGCAATAATATACAATATGGATATACGCTGAGTTGTATAAGCAATGCTTACCAATCATCAACATGTTGTCTAAATCATGATCACTGGCTTTTGTCCCATTTGTTAATTTCAACAAACTTGTAGATATTAACATTGTAAACACAAAGATATTAACATTGTAAACACAAGATGTGGACAAAAATATTCATCCACATCTGAAGACATTTAATTGATTTTAGAGAGAGAGAAACATCAAGGGGTTGCCTCCCTATGTACCCCCCCACCAGGGATCAAACCGCAACCTAGGCATGTGAACTGACCTAGATAGAATCAAACCTGAAATCTTTTGGTGTATGGGATTTCCCACATTACAACCAACTGAGCCAACCAGCCAGGGCTGTAAAAAAAATTTTTACAACTCAATTCATCTAAGTTTGCTTTTCTCTATGTCCTCTAATCTGAAAATGCAACTTATAGGCCTCTACTGGAATTTTTTTCAATAAATTACTATTGTTTTCAGTGTTTAATAGGTTTGGGAAATATAAGTCCGTAGTGAAATATAGTGTTGTCTTAGCATTTTACTACTCTTGGTTTGTTGACTTCATACATTGAGAAAATTTCTTTCTCTAACTAGACTTCAACCTAGTAGGCATCCATCACTCCTACTTTGTTTCCCCATGTTATATGGGGCCGATGCACCATCCTCTCCGTATTGTTTTCTGACTTATCTGTTCTCCTTTACTGAACCAATTTGTACTCTGAACAGAATTTCATCTTCTTTTGAATAATCCTATCAAGATTCCAATGATGTATTTCACAGAATCAGAACAAGTACTTCAAAAATCTTTATGGAACCACAAAAGACTCCACAGAGCAACAGCGATCCTGAGAAAGAAGAACAGAGTTGGAGGAATCACATTACCTAATATCAAACTATATAGTAAGGCCATAGTAATCAAAACAGCATGCTACTGGCATTAAAAAACAAACACATACATAGATCAATAGAATAGCACAGAGAGCCCGGAAATAAACCTACACCTTTACAGTCAGTCAATTAATACTTGACAGAGGAAGCAAGTACATACAATGGACTAAAGGTAGCCTATTCAATAAATGGTGTTGGGAAAATTGGACAGATAGACACGTGCAGAAAAATGACACTAGACCACCTTCTTACACCACACACATGAATAAATTCAAAATGAAGACTTAAATGTTAGACCCAAGACCATAAAAATCCTAGAAGAAAACATAGGCAGCAAAAATCTCAGAGATTTCTGGTCACAATATTTTATCAGATGTATCTCCTCAGGCAAGGGAAACAAAATAAAAAAATAAACAAATGGAACTATATCAAACTCAAAAGTTTTGCACAGCAAAGGAAATCATCAACAAAACAAAAAGACAACCCACAGAATGGGAGAAAATATTTGCTGATATATCTGATAAAGGGTTAATATCCAAAATGTATAAAGAACTTACAAAACTCAACACCAAAAATACAAATAACCCAATTAAAAAATGGGCAAAGGACCTGAGTAGACACTTCTCAAAAGAGGATATACAGATGGCTAATAGATATATGGAAAGATGCTCAAAGTCATTAATCATCAGAGAAATGCAAATTAAAACAATGAGATATCATCTCAAACCTGTCAGAATGGCTGTCATCAATAAACCAACAAACAACAAATGCTGGCGAGGATGTGAAGCTTTTGTACCGTTGGTGGGAATACCAATGCCAACTGGCGAAGCCACTGTGGAAAGTAGTATGAAGATACCTCAAAAAATTAAAAATGGATCTAGCCCTGGCTGGTGTAGCTCAGTGGATTGAGCACGGGCCTGCGAACCAGACAATCGCGGTTCGATTCCCAGTCAGGGCACATGCCAGGGTTGCAGGCAGGTTCCCTGCAGGCCAGTTCCCAGCAGGGGACGCACGAAAGGCAACCATACATTGATGTTTCTCTCCCTCTCTCCTTCCCTTCCCCTCTAAAGATAAATAAATAAAATCTTTAAAAAAAAAAAAAATGGATCTTCCTTTGGACCCAGCAATCCCACTTCTGCGAATATATCTAAAGGAACTTAAAACACTAATGCAAAAGAACATAAGCACCCCTGTGTTCATTGCAGCAATATTTACAATTGCCAAGATATGGAAGCAGCCTACTACTCGGCCATAAAAAAGAAAATTTCACCCTTTTCAACGGTAATGATGGACCTGGAGACCATTATGCTATGTGAAATAAGCCAGTTAGAGAAAGACAAGTACCATATGATTTTACTCGTATGTGGAATAATGAAGAAACTGAACAAGAAACATGGGGATAGACTCATAGATGGAGAGCAGATGACCACTGGGGGGAGATTAGAAGGTGGACAATTGAGCAAGAAAGAATAAAGATTTATGGCCATGGACAACAGTGTGGTGATTGCTGGAGGTACAAGGGGACTAAATGGTAATGGTAAAAATACAACAAAGGTTAAATCAATAAATAAATAAATATAATACTGTGTTGGGAACCACCCTGCCTGGTTTCAGAAGCTGTAAACCGCCCCCCCCCCACCACGGCTAAAGCTGAATGAGACTGTGGAACCATAAGCCACTAGAGACAAAGCTTATCTCCCCAGCAGGAGCACCGCCTCTGCCCCCTTTACTTGCACCCTGCTTGGCCCTGAGCCTGACCAGTTAGCCAATGACAGGTAAGATTCCTCAAAGGAGGGACAACCTAAGACAGGCTGTGTCATGGAGGGCCCCAGGGAAGGACTTGGAGGGCTACAGCAAAAGGGGGTGATGGACCCTTGCCCCTTGTCTTTGACATAGCCTGAGTCCTCATTCCATCTGCAAGAAGTCTCCTAATCTCTTGGCTGCCTTAGTTTCCCTGCCTGACTTAAGCCTGAAAGAATGACAGAGTGCTGTGCAGTCCTATGCTGGGAAAGGGCGGGTGCCCGATCAGGCCTAAGAAAGAGTACATAAAATCCTGTGAACTTGCTTTGCCAAGAATGCTCTCGATTTTCTGATAAGGGTCAGAGCAGAATATGAGTTTGTTTCCCAAAATTTTGTAGCCTTTTAGCTAACTGACCCTGACTCAGAATAAGCCCTCATATTTCTGCATATGTTATCTACTGTTTGATCCTTACTGCTTGACAATGACTGATGAGCTTCACATGTATTTCTGTGCAAACTGAACCCAATAAAAGCCCACTGAGGAAAAGGCTCTTGGCCCTTCTCCTGAGAGATGGGCCACCTTTCTTCCCCAAGCAGGTCATGTCTTGGTAGATTTATTTTCATCTGTGGCAGATGAGGGGGCCCTGTAGGCGGAGCCCCCCCACAATACTGAGTTTATGAACAGACTCAATTTTGCCTCTCATATAATCACTATTCCTAAAATACTTTTAAGATGTAATTTTAGCTAAGAAGAGACCTATATATCTTTCTTTTTAAAACACGGAACACTTCACAAATTTGCATGTCATCCTTGCACAAAGGTCATGCTAACCTGCTCTGTATCATTCCAACTCTAACACATGTGCTGTCGATGCAAGCACTACATATTATTTTCTTTACAAATACTGTAAAGTTTAAGCACAGACTGTCACAATTTCACAGGTATTTAGTATGCAGTCAATATTTCAAGATGCTACTATTATACTTCACAAACCAAGTTGCCTCTCTACATGTGGCCTTTTCTATTATAGCAACTAAACTTTGCTGTGAAAAATCACGTACTAATAATGCCTATATTCCAGAAAAATAGAATTAGAATATCACCATTTTGTAATCCCTAATAAAATAATAAACCTCAGCTACAGTGGTCCACAGAAGGACCAGTGCTGGCCTGCAAACTGTTTGTTACCAGTCCATAATAAGAAAAACACACATAAATTTTATATAAGTGTTCATAAACTTGTATTATGAGTTGACAGTACTTTTATTTCTGTTGAATCTACAAAAATTTGGGCCTTCTACTTTTTGTGTCTTTCATTTTAAAATTTCACTTGCCTAAAAATTTATTTTATTTTTTAATAATAGAGTCATCAATAGACTGAAACTGGTTTTTTAATGGTTTTTACTACAGACCTGTGAGAAGCACTAAACTAGGCACTGACTATTAAAATCATTAGATGAAAGTGAAACTCGATAATGGATAGGTAAGTTGGCAATATCTCATTCAACTCATCAATCTTAATATACAAAAATAGAGACCAGGTATACGTAACTCTTACTGTGAGGCACTAAACATATCAAGGAAGACTAAACCATGTATCTATAACTGTTGAGTTGAATGATAAAAACATACTCTTTGCTTTACTTATACATATGTTTTTAATTTTCCATATGTAGCCAATTACATGAATGGCCCTTATTCCTCACTATTCCCTATA